TACAATTGGCTATTGATGGCCATAGTGGACGTTATGCTTGCATTGCATATTGATTTGCGTGTTTTTTATGTTCCTGGGGTGCATAACACAGTTGCCAACCATCTATCTTGTTAAAAGAATAATGAAGCTTATCAAGCCTTGCCAGGCTTGCTTATCTCATCTTTTCAACCCCCTCAGAATATGCTGGGGGCAGCCAAAAAAATGATCTCTCTATCTACCAATGCCAGGCAGCCCAAAAGGGAGGCTTTGTCTTTAGAGCACCTCATCCTCAAATGCTCTATTTGACTCAGTTTTGCTCTTGACACTACAACCACATGTGCTTACTCATCTCATCTCAACTCTTATCTGTCCTTCTGCATGGCTCATCATTTCCCAGTCAAACCAACTCCTGATACTCTATCTTTCTATGTGGTTTACATGTACCAGCATATTCAGCCACAGTCAGTTGAATGTTATCTCTCAGGGATTGTTAGCCAGCTCAAGCCCTATTGTCCTTCCATCTGAGACATTCAACAATCTCAACTGGTGAAACATTCCTTGAAGGGATTGGTGCACCATTTTGGGCGGCCTGTTGTCTGCAAGCATCCTTTGTTATGGGAAGACCTAACTTGGGTTGTTGCCTCAATGCCTGGATCATTATCTTTTGACAATCACCTCTGGCTTGCCCAACTCTTATCAGGTTCCTTTGGACTCATGCATCTTGGTGAATTGGTATGGCCAGATCAGCTCAAGCTTCAAGATTATGCCAAGTTGTCTCTGTATCATTCAGTTTATCTGGATGCTGACTGTTATTCATTTCTACTCCCTCATGACAAAGCGGACATTCATTTCGAAGGAAATAAAATCCTCATTTAATGTTTTATTGGTCTTGATGATCCTCTTGGTCCTTTCATGGTGTATCTAGGCATGCACAATATCAAGTTTCCTTTTCAACCTTTCCTTTGATTGGGCAGCAATGGTAAACCTCCCTCTAGGGTTCAGTTTATGTACCATTTGCACAATTTTTTTCCCATCAGCATTGCTGGTCACTCAATGTGTGCTGGTGGTACAACTTCTCCTGCTGTAGCTGGTGTTCCTCCTGCCAGCATTCAGCAAATCTGTTAGAGACCGTGCTTGGACAGAGAAGCAGAGGGGTCAGGGCTTGGCTTCAGCTCTTACGCTGTGACCTTAGCCGAGTATGTGCCCCAAATTTGGAGTGGGTCTGACCATGTCCGACCATAGGACAGGCAGACCACTTTGGTCCACTTGGTGGGTTGGGAGGTAAGTGCTACTAGCAGTAATCCAACTAGGAGCAGAGTGGGGGAGGCAGAGGAAGTTTATTGGGACAGAGGGGAGTAAGGGGATTGATTGATGGGGTTGGAGAGGTAAGAGTGAATACTTAGAGCACAGCTCTAAGTCAGAGCAGAGGGTCAGAGGTGACGACAAGGTAAACTTGTGTCTGGAGAGGGAGCAAAGTCCTACGGAGAATTCCCACTAGTAGAGACAGCAGGAAGACAAGTGATATTAAGACTGGGGAGTAGCTAAGTACAGGATATGTCTTTATATACTTCTATGTAGGAGGCAGTGACTAGTTAGTCCTTGGTATGATGCTATGTACCGAGCATAATTTGTAAGTAGACACAGGTGAAAAACATAAGTTGGGGTGGATATCAATATGTACGCATTGGATCAGTCAGTCGAGTGGTTATAGAAAGTACCGGTGATCTGGGAAGTAAGTGTTATGTGCGAATGGGGAAAGTATATACCTAAATGGGGAAGGAGTTTACAGTAGGGTGGAAATGATGCAGGAGGTAACTGACGAGGCGGTTGAGTGGAACTGTAGTAGCAGATGTGGGAGCCGACTGGGTCAGGCAGAGGGCGGATGGAGTGGAGGTGGTAGGAAAGTGGGGGAAGTATGAGGTCAGGCAGAGCGGATATTAATATTGTCAGAGCGGTCGGATCAGGTATATGACAGAATCGGACGATGGCACTCTGACACATGGGAACACTACATTCACAAAAAACCCAGTATTGCTTCAGGCTTTACTGTTCCATAGATGAGCTTCAGAACATGATGTCCCAGTGTAATTCTGTTTCTTGGTGCGTCTCTTTCATCACTTTGTTCACCTTTTTCTTGTTTTACTTTCTCTTTAAAACTACTTCATTTCCCAACCCTTCCCTCCCTTTTCTTATACTGTATAGTGGTCGAGACAGTTTCTTTTGATGGGTCAGTTTTGGTTCCGAAAAGTTTTCTCCTTCGCACCATGTATTACTACTTTTTTCATGGCAGTCAGGGTCTTTTCTCTCAGGTATTCTTGTTTCAGGCTCACTTGCCATGTATTATTAGTCATAATATTCATAGGACTCCCTGTTGTCTGTGCACCAGTTTTACTCCATGCTTCCTCTGTTGGACTCCGAACGATCTAAATGATGAGTTGAGTTGGCTCCACAGATGGAGGCCTTGAGGCATTTGTTGATGCGGACTGGGCGTCCCAGCCCCATCACCATTTAATGTCAGGTTACATTGTATTGCTGAATGGTGGCCCCATCGCTTGGAGTGCACGTAAGCAGCCCTTGATCGCTTTATCGACTGCAGAGGCAGAATACATAGCACTAACAACTGTCGCCCGAGGGCTACTATACCTGCAGTATCTCTCTGAAGAACTGTACGATGTGGGGAATGTCCCCACTGCAGGCCCATATCCCATATAATTCCTAAGCCTTACCACCATCTTCCCGTGCATTCCGCTACCGTTCCACTACCCATCCGCATCCTATCCAACCCGTCTGCTACACGGAACCCAGTGGAACCCAGTGGAACAATTACGTACTACGCACATTATATTCCTTTAGCTTTCAGAATGTCCTCTCCCATCCTGTCCCCGTTCTTCCATCCTCACTGGTGAGTACTAGCTACGTTCCCCGTGTTACTGACATGTTCCTATCTCATTTCATATGTGTTACAATACTTATACGGATCCTCCTGCTACTCGGAACTGGTTCCTTATCTCACAGCCTCACCCAGTTGTAGCATAGCGCTTTCCAGAACCCCTTCCTATATAGATAGCAATAGATGGGATCTTAGTTTTTTACCTTTTGATAGACCTGACTCCACTTCCACTTACAGAGTACTTCCCAGTACTCCACTCACTGTTTAAAATATCTTCCCAAATCTATTCCTGATCTCATCGCAATGTTCCCGCCTCCGTGAGTTCCACTCGAAACACCTGACATCAGATCCGACAACTTGGAGCAAGTACCAGACACAAGCCTGGTCCAACTTTGCCCAATCATCCTCCTGCAGGCTCATAGTTTCCCTTTCCCTCCGTTAGTACTGTTTGTTCCCCATTTGTTCCGTTTGTTCCCTGTTTGTTCTGTTTGTTCCACGGTAGTTCCATTAGTTCCGCATAGTTCTGCTTGTTGTGTGTTAGTTCCGCTCATTGCGCGTTGTGTTCCACTTGTTGCATACCTTCTGCATCTTTGTGTTCCCAGTCCTAGTAAGGACCGGAACCCTTTGGGTCGCTAGACAGAGTCTAGTCTTTGCTTTCCTCACACTTACTTGAGGACCCGCTACCCAGTAGCAATCCCCTTGGGACAAGTATTAGTCTCGCACCCTTGTTAGACATCTGAATCACCCCAGAGTCTATTTTCCTCACCCACAATGAGCCCCCTATTCTCCTGAGTCCCATCTACTGTGACAATCAGGCAGCCATCACCCTAGCGTGGAACGGAAAATTCCAGTCCCACACCAAGCACATAGCCATTTGGTACCACTTCATCCATGCCCACATAAAGGACGGCACTTTCCAATTGTTCTACTGCCCCAGCGAAGACAATGTGGCGGACACATTCACTAAAGGCTTACCTCGCCCCCGTCTACAGAAGCTCAGAGCTCAAATGAGCCTGGATTGCGCTCGAGGGGGAGTGTTGGACTCCGAATGATCCAAATGATGAGTTGAGCTGTCCAAACGATCCAAGATGTCAGTGTGAGCGCAATAAAAGGAGTGATGGATGAACGACACTTTGACGTTGGTTCATACCAGTCATATATTCCATCTCTCAATCATTTTGTTTTTCATTTCCATCCTACATACTATAAAGTTATGAGCTGGTCCATACAAGCATCTCAGTTCTGACTACAGACTGAGATGTGAGTACCTGTTATTTTACAGACGCGATACAACGAGTTAACGAGTCACTAGTATTGTTTTAACTAGGTACATGACTTGTAATAAAGAGTTCTGACTACAGACTGAGATTATTGTTTTAACTAGTGTCCCTTCCGTCCGCTCGTACCTGTAACTCACTACATCCTCTGCCTTCTGCACTAGGCCGATTAGTCATGGATGCAATTGGATTACAAAATTTCGTATTTACATTGTCATTTTCCTGAGCAAAAAACTTCAAATATTGTTATCTATTTAGATAGGATTCAAAATCTTTGTCAAAAGGTGTTACTTTGCTTTGTCATTTCACCATTCATCTTGTCGAAATTCAAATTGAAAATCCCTTATGTATCAATCCCATCTTGATTCACTGGCAAGTCTGGCTTGCGGAAATTTTCGGAAACCGCCGATGTGTCAGTGACCATTGTTCGTTCAAAACCTTCTGCAAAGAGATTGTCCAGCTTCGTATGACGCACAATAGATATGTCGTGGGCCAATGGCGGTGTTCCCGTGCCCGCCGATGATTTTACATTCCAACATGTATTTGAAACCTCACTATGCTCCTGTAACGAATGCACGAACCGCGATAAGTACTTGGGGATCGGCTTTGCCATGAACGTGCCTCGGTTGTGACCTTCCTCGTCGATTTCGGCTCTGTACGTACGTACGCATTAACAGCCAAAGAGCTCCTGTGACGAATGCCGCCGGAACTATTCGTATCAATTCTGTCAGCGCTGTCATACGTTTCGAAATTCCTTCACATTGACATGGAAGTCCAAAACACCTTGTTAGGACTCAGGAGCTTTCTGTGGAATATAAAAACCGAGCATCTTCACAGATCAGACAACACCAACAACCCTCTCTAGTCTAACATAAACTCACTATCATCATGTTCACCCGCCTCTCTACTGGTGTCTGTGTTCTCCTTGGCTTGACGGCCCTTCTGGGCGTCAACGCTGGAGTAGTCCCAGTAAGCCTTGCTTCGCATCAAGTCTTGTCGTGTTGACATCGAGATACATTGTCCACAGGTTGCTCGCGACGTAGAAGTAGTGAGCCTTTCTTCGCATCAAATGTCATTATGTTGACCTCACCATACAATGTGCGCAGGGCAGCTATGGTACATCAGCACTTTATGCAATCATAAGAGATACAGAACTTGACAAGCGTGTCGTGGTAAGCCTTGCTCCGCATCAAATCTCATCGTGGGACCTCACCAACAATGTGCGCAGGCGCGAGAGACTGAGCTGACGTCCGGGTTTGACACAAAGAGGGACACGGAGCTGACCTCTGGGTTCGAGACAAAGAGGTCGGATTCCGGGTACATATGGGGCGGAGGGTAAAAGACGTCCGGGTACGACACGTATGTTGAACGACTCTAGGTTACGCTGGAAATCCGATTCTGTCAGTTGTGCTGGTGGAACTGGCAGAATCGCCACTTGGAAATTCTGTAAAGCAATTTAAGCTAGTGTATTACGCAAACGAGGATATCAGTATGTATTGCGAATCACTTTCTGGGTACTTGATCGTCAGCATGCTTACATCCCAATGATCCTGATATCTCGGGAGAATATTCGAACGTTCGAGCATTCAACGTTTAAATCACCGAAATCTTCGTAGATCATCAGGAAACATGTATGTCAATCAAAAGTACAAGCCAATAGACATACCTCGATTACATGAATCGTTCAACATGAGGCTAACCTACAGTGACAACAAATGGGAGAAAACAAAAAAGCACCGCTGTATGAGTATCACAACATGTTCTCCATACACGTTTCATTTTACATACACTATCACTCATCCTACACGTTGTCTTTTCGTTCTCCGTCTCAACGACGCCTTCTTATTCCTCTTCCTTCGGAATCGTCTCCCCTTAGTCCTTCAATCGAAGACTGAGTTTCTCCCTCGTTCCTAGTCCGAGCCTCTCTTCGTTTGAGACGCTGACCATTCCGGGCAGATATATGCGTCAGTGGTCGACGTCGAATTTATACGGAGGAACATCAAAGCCAACGGTCAGAAAACTATTTCCATTGGGAGCGCGGCGGAACGTTACGTGAACGTGTTTTTGGAGCTCATTAACACACGCGTCAGCGTGCTCCAAGAAGCCGTCGTGCGCAATGTCACATAGCTTCTTAAAACTTCACAATGATATGCCTTTCAGGAGCTTTACAACCAGTTTAGAAGGAGAAGAATCCTGAGAGAAAGTCAGCGAGAACAGCAGGCTACTCACGTGGGCGTTGTGGATCCAGAGTGTTATGGCCAAGGTTCGAAATACTGTTGACCAGAGACATCTACATGTAAAATCCAATCGAGCTTCGAGCACAGCGCTACTCAAGCATGCACTTTCAGTATGTGACATACTTATATGATATAGATACATATCGCGGATTGCGCCAGTGCTAGTGTGACTACCGGATATTGCGAAGTACACATATCATTCCGACGTTGAACTGATGTAGCCGAGAGCAAGCTCATCATGCATACATGATTGCAAGTAATTTCTGCCCCAGCAGCTTGAGCCTAACAGTGAATGTGTAGATGGTAGAATCAAGGGGAGAAAGGGGGACAGCTACGGACCGTTGGTTCGAAGCGTACAAATCGATTGAACATCTACAAAATTTGGTTTGTATGAATACTGCGGATGTCACCAAAAAAACACCACAGGTAAACCGCTCTACACGCCGGCTTGATCCTTGGCTCGTTCTTCATAGAAGCCGCGTCTAAGAGTATGCCGACCATGATGGCCACCCAAATGGCGATGTAGCCATTCACCCCCAGAGCAACCATACAGAGACCTAGTAAAATTACAACAGGTCAGAACCAAAATTAAATCCAAAACAGAAGAGCCTACCGTCCGCGTGCGAGGAACGCCAATGAGTAAGCTGCATCGTGCGAAAGCAACCGGCGAGACACAGGACCTTCGATACCACCAACTTGGATACTTGCTGGCACTGAGCGAAGTTTTATAGTCAGTGCCAGTGCTGTGTTTCGAAAAGTTCCCTACCTCCTGTTTAGCATCGTCAATTACCTCCACCATCGCGCTGGCTAACTTGAACGTACGCCATGTAACACACTCCCATGCAGGAGAACTGGATCAACAAGAGTATCGGCGAGTAATAAACCATGCTGGAAATGGAGTCGAGGTTTTGAATGGGTGGAAACAGCACGCGTATAATATCCGCAACCATAACCGGCGATTGCTGTGAAAACGGACAAGTCAGTTTTGCAAGACAGAATGTAAATGAACGGTAGACTCATGCCCTCTTGGATCCCCATCATCGTATCGCGCAAGCGTTCGTTATACTTCTTCCAAGTCGTTTGCCTTTCTCACCTCCTGCCACAATTCCTCGAGATCAGGCTGTCTGAGAAAGAAGCCGCAGAAGAAGGTGAACCAACGCCGAACGCGGGCATCTGAGGTAAGTTTCCATCCATCAGAAAGGTCTGGGATCTGCTTTTCGTTGTGTCCGTGTGTGGAAGGTGAGTTATCATCCATCTTCGTCTTGTCTTTAGAGATATCGCTGCTCGAATCAAGAGAGGAAGAAATAGCTGTCTAAATAGATTGTACATATTCGGAGGTGGCTACGGACGGGTCTTGCGATTTTCAGAAGCGGTTTAGACGGAGAATGATTGTGAGAGGACGTTAGCAGAAACAGCGGGCATACCTTGGCGTTGTAGATGAATTAGACGGAAATGCAGGGTGTCGTTAGCGAGTGATGTAGTTGAAATCTACTTTGCCTCTGGACACTGAAATCTTGCGCTGAGTGCTTGGTAAGAGGCAAAACGGTGATTGAGCGCACAGACCGGGCAAGTGCGAGAAGTGTCGAAGACACGTGCGGCTTAGATCAATGTTGGGACTCCCAACTTCCAAGTTCAAGCTACATACATATAAGTCAGTGGACATTAGTGCGAAAAAGGAATTTTATCATGAGACACGTAAAGACAAGCGTAGATGTGCGCAAGCACACGAAGTGGCCGCAATGAAGTGCAAAAAAGTAAATGTACACAACTTCACAAATAGATATGTAGATACTTGTCAGCAATGTACATATATACATAGATAAGTGAAAAAAGACGCACCTAGATTGCATGAACAAGCGGAAATGAATGCAAATGAGTCTCGGGTGAACGAAAAGACAATCACCAGGCGCAAACGTGCGCAGGACAGCAGAGACAAGTACAGACAAGTAGTACAGACAAGCAGCGACAGTTGCAGACAAACGCAAATGCCACTCGTGGTATGAACAGGCGGTATATCGTCGTCGCGGACATTTCCGACAGCGGAGTGAGTGCCCGGCCTATTTGGGCCCAGCCCGGCCCGGCCCAGGGCTTGAAGCCGGGCCGTGCACATCACTAGAGACACGCAATTATAAGAACATATCATTATTAGTTTGGTATGTGGCACTACGTCTAAGTAACAGTATGAAGACTCTTACACACCCGCCGATGGTTTGGAGTCTGCACCACTGGCATAAGTAATCCCTGCCCTTGCAAATGGAATCCCTGGTCCACTATTGTGCGCTGTTTGTCTCAACACAGCTCGTGTGCCATGCCATCAACAACATCGTGTTCTGATTAATTCTGGAATTCACCGAAAAGAGGGTACCTTGCACCGCTACGATAAGATATAAGCGTTGTGGTTCGTTGGCGCCCACCAACAACCCACCATCATCACGCATGTAAGTATCCTACTCCCCCGAAATGCTCCTGCTGACTGAGAAACATAATAAGATTCGATGATGCCCAATCACCAAGATGATGTATCTCCACGGGCCCCTACCTCCCTTGCTCGAAAGGAAGCACTTCAGGCCGAAATGACGCTCAAAGGTCATGAAGACTGGGTGAGAGACGTCGCTTTCATCCCTGGTACCCGCCTCCTCGTTACTTGCTCTGACGATAGAAGTCTTCGGGTGTGGAATCTGGACACAGGGAAACAAGTGGGGGAGCCTTTGGTGGGTCACAATGAATATGTGTTGCGGGTGACAGTATCCTCCGATGGCCGCTGGATTGTCAGTGGAGCGAGGGACGGAAGCATCTTGATATGGGAAGTTCCGACGAGGAAAAGCGGCGTCCCGGTCCTCTTACACTCATTCAAAGGACATAAGAGTGATGTTTGGAGCGTCGTCTTTGCACCGGACAGCGAGACATTTGCAAGTGCATCATATGACAAAACGGTTTGTGTGTGGCGGAGAGAAACAAGCGAAATAGCTCTCGGACCATTCCAAATGGGTAGTGAGGCATATTCGGTGTCATACTCTCCCGATGGCAGCAAACTAGCGGCAGGCACTGATAAACACATCGTCATTTGGAATGCAATGAATGGAGAAGAGTTGCTGAAGATAGAACAGCGGGCATGGCGGGTTGTATTCACTGTAGATGGTCTCCGTCTCGTCAGTGGGAATTTCGACGACGTTCGAATCTCAGACGCTACCACTGGAGAGATCATCAAACAATTTGACGTGCACACTGATCTTTTACAATCACTGGCCATTGCTCCCGATGGCACGAAATTCGCCACCACCTCGAGCGATAAAATGACGCGATTCTTTGACCTGACCACCTTGGAACCCATTGGCGAGCCACTTGAACACCCTGATGCCCTATACTGCGCCACGTTCTCTGAGGACAGCCAACTAATCGCGACTGGCTGTGTCGACAAACTCGTTCGTACATGGATAGTCGATCAGAGCGAGTCAGAGGTGCTCCAGCAGGCAAGCAGGTCATCCCGTCGTGCCATGCTTCATACTAATGTCTCTTGAGAACAGTCTGTACACAAGGTTCCTTGATCCCTCACACACATCCGCATACATACTGACTTCTAGTTACCTACAGGCTGACTACCGCTCTTCCAAAAAAGATGTACGCTTTCACACTCGTCCTTTTGCACCTGTCCCTAACTTCACTCCTCTGGGAAGCGTCGACCAGAACGCACTGGACTTCCTCGTGGGTTCTTCGACAATGTAAAACTTCATGTTACAGCAGATTCAATACCCGTCTTACTATGCTCCCAGTTTGATACACGTCGACCCAATACCCGCACTGTTCCCACCACCTCCCAGCGTGATGTCGAAGGCTCCCGCATGAAGCAATTAATGAACCATCTCTTGTTTCGCTCCTCCACTCCTCAAATTCCTGGCTCCACGCACGCATAAGAGCTCCATCGCGGACGTCTTCGCAACACGGGGTAAATATGTATGTCTTTTATGAATCTTCCATTTTCCTTCCTTGTTCAGCGATTGTTTCATAGCGCACTGCAAATGCTATCAGCGGGAAAAGGCATTTAGTGCAACCACCACGTCCTCCTCGCCGGAATGCCCGCACTTCCAACACTGGTGTCTCGGATGCTGACACCAGCGCGGCGGGGACGTCTAATATCATCAGCAGCGCAACTTCAGCAAGCATGCAGACCACAACTACCAGTGTTCCTGCTGAGACTTTCCAACAATCACCACTAGACGCTGAACTTGTTCTGGAGACAAACTGCTTGGTGATCCTTGCCAGGTGGTTACTGTGTGTCTCGCGCGCTGAAAAAACAAGTCCTACTCCTGCCAGTGTTACTTCCCGCCTCCGCTAGTCCCCTCCGTTCTGAGACTCATCCCCTCGAATCATTCCCTTACACTACGTGTATTGAGACTATCTGATGTTGCTCCCGATATATCACCGTCGTGCGAAAACTTAGCTATGTGGGATTTGAGGTTACGCGAGAAACACCCTCCCTTCATTATGCAATACAAGGCACTTAGATTCACGGGCCTCTATTTCACGCATCTTCAGCTGCGCCTTGGGGACTCGTAGTTCCAAACCATCTGTTATCGAAGAGCATTCTTACTATTCATTATCAATATTGTTAGGTGCCAAGTCAATGCGGTGTTCTACAATATTGTCGATGGAAAGTTGATGTATTGGCCACTTACATTGTGGAATTGACTGCATGATACATGTTTCAAGATGCGGTGTCACTCGATGGATGCTGGAGATTCAGACTGCGATGTAATCCTCGTACAAGCAAGGACGTCCCGGTATTTTTTGCAGATCAGTATCAGCAAGATGCAATGACTGCCTAAGCGCCAAATAGCTCAGTGGCAGTGGAGGACAGCATCATTGCATGGAATGGTGAGAAACGGACTGGATGACATGAATATACGCCCTGACTTATCCTGTCCGAATGGGCGACTGGCATGCAACACTGAAAGCTTTAAGCGCTAAAGAACGTAAGCGGACGAAAAGAGATGTAACTAATGTTATGCTTGGGGTGCATATTGCAGTCTTTGATCATAAGTCAGAGACCCCGCGGCTCGCACATGCACAAACACGGATGAAATATTGCTTTGGGGACGTGAAGTTAATGGCGAGGTTGGGAGACAAGTGTAATGGAAGTAATGACGCGTACACGAGACGCGATTGTTGTGACTTCCATTTGAGCTGGGGTTTCCTCTAATGTCTGCCGGAGGTGGTGATGGAAGTGGAAACAGACAAGGAATGGGGGGAAGCACTGGAAGGACCTGTATCAGGGAGGGCCGTTGTACCTGAGCATGAAGAGGATAAATATACCGGACGTCTATGATTCTGCCACATGTTGGTCTCGATTGAGTAGTATGAAAAAATCAATCAGAGGGTAGCCAATTTCCTAGAGCCGCTGTAGATCACTGTTGCTCACCCGAACAATCACAGAGGAAAAAACTGATTCAGTTCTGAGTTGTCGCGTAAAGAAGTCCTCAATTACGTTACATTCTCCCACATGGCACAACTTGCTCTCGTGCTCTCTCGCAGGCGGCACGGTTGTCGGCCTGTAGTCTTGTGGTGGAGACGGTTACAATTCGTAATTCCGCCGACAATCATGTCCTGTTTGGCAGTTCAGAAGCAGACGAATCTGTGAGTCGTGACGTCGATCAAAGCGGCACGTGGTTTTGACACTTTTCGCACTTGGAGGGGCATACTATTCAAAAAATCCCCGAATCTCTTCGCCATATTTATGCACCCAAGTCGACAAGTTCCGGCTACATGGTACGAAGTACCATGGCAAAACAAAATGAAGTGGAGGGCAGGGAAGCAGAGATTTCAGACTTCAACATGGTAATCCATGTTTGTCATCGATCCTGAGATGGAGTCCTTGGCTCTCAACCGGGGACCATTCCAAAGTGCCAGTACTGTGGGAGAAGAATCAAGTTCGAGAAAATTAGGATAAGTATCAGCACGTGTCGGGCTGCACGACCGTTCATCGATCAGGGCAGGGCCTCGCAGGGGGGAATGTTCCAACCAAGTCGACATCGGTGATGTCGAAGATAACTCGCGAAAAGTTCGATTGATTGCGACTCTACGCATCAATGAAAGAGATGAAAATGGTGCATGAAACCACGATAGAATACGGGACGGTTTTTGTTGGAATCCCTGTCCGATGGCGCTTCGCGGAACAGGGATGCCATCTCGCAAAGGTGTCCATTAGAGGAGGGAATCGGCCCTGGGAACGCTCGGAATCTTAGATCAAGTTGGTGTGCAAAAAATACGCTGGACTCGGGCATAAGCGTCTTGGGGGTGGGCCGGTCATAGATCCATCGAAAGAATGAAATTTTGAGAGAAGTTGTCACATTGGCCGAGTGAGCATCCAAAGCGAAACTTGAGAGAGAGGACGGAGGTCAATCGGAGCTCGAAGAGACTACAAGAGCCTAGAAACGCCGGGTAGGCGAGATCGCAGTGACCATAAGATACTAGTCTCGAGAAGCGGAGATCGGCCAGGGGATAGACTCGGACAACAATTTGGGGCGTAGGCTGTCATGGTTCCGGCGGGAGAATCCAGTCGATTCGAACTTCGAAGAAGTACTACAAAACAAGAGGGATTCACCAGCCGTCGTAATTCAAGCCCTTCGGAGAGTACTAGTGACGGCGAACCCAGGCCAAATCTCGTGAACAAGTCCAAGTACTAGTATCCATGGTGAAAATTGATTAGATCGTACGCATCGTTTTGGGCGTTCCATCAAACACTACCACAAAGGTTGAGGCCTGAGGAGTTGGAGGTCAAGACGAGTGGAGCAAGTGGAAGAGAAAGTTGAGTCGAACGACGGCATTAGATACGCGGACTTTAAATCTAAGGCAATTGTGAGACATCCAAAACGGTTGTTAAATGAGGTCATTTCAATCTTGACTGACATGTGAGAGACGTTTCTACGAAGACTCTCAGCGAGGACGAACTGAGTATCAGCGACGATGATTGTCGCATGGACTAAAATTTTACAGCTATTTTCATATCGATAGACCAGAATCTGGAAAACTCATTTAGCCGCTTTTGTTTGTTGTTGGAGCGACACCAAACAGAGGCGCGCACGCTAGCTACTCTTATGAATCTTTAATGTAACTTGGGGCTTGTGTGGCACTGCGGGGCAGTGACGAGACCCTGGAATCGTACCGCACGCACTGACCTGCGGCCAGCCGCACATGGTGCACCGTGGTTATTACCAACTGCAGGTGACCAGCCCTCGCCGTGAAAGACACTGTAATGTTGTCAAAGGTAAGTTTTGCTCATCATCAAATGGGCTCCACTTAGTTTCTGCAACCTTGGCATTCTAGCGAGATCGTCGTCTCTTCGTCTCCATCGAAAACAATGGTTTTTGGATCATCTGACAATGTTGATCCATTGCGCAAATATATTTTACATACATGCTTGTGAGTCAATCCATGCCTATGTAGTGTTCGTTCGATGGCAAGAGACGCCTCAATATCCCTCACCTCCCGTAGAGCACTTTGTAGTTCAGATAGAAATATGTTAGGAGTGCGCCCGACACATGAAATAAGGTACTGTCACGGTTAGGTATTAAATTCAAAATACTTTGTGCCTTCCCTTACTGCAACGTCCTGTGCTGTAAGTAGACGAGGACGACCAATTTCCAGAGGTTTTCGAACGACAGAGCCTGTGAGTTGTGAGAGCCGAAGAACTTGATTGACTGTTCGATGGCTGTATCCTGTCACTTGCACGATGGCCTTCGATATCATGCCATGTGTGGACATAACAACCCACTGCTGCTTCGCAGCATCTGGTATATGTCGCCGGTTTCTGTGCATGATGATGATGGTCGGCAGTCGTTGTACTAATATTCCACAAGCAAGTTATAAAAGTAGCTAGCGTGCGCGCCTCTGTTTGGTGTCGCTCCAACAACAAACAAAAGCGGCTAAATGAGTTTTCCAGATTCTGGTCTATCGATATGAAAATAGCTGTAATGAGCCTCCGGGTTAACGGATCGCACCAACACCGACACGACGACCCTGATCTTTTGATGTAAGTCGTTTCTAAGCATTAGTAGAGTGTTATCTTGTTATAGTACTTTGCAATGATGCTCCGTTACGTGCCTGAAAAAAGAAGACAGGCAAACAGTCAGAGTATTTGTGTGCGGACGCTGGATAAGGGAGGACACACCTCAGTAGTATTGTCGGTAATGACCCTGATCCATCTAGGTATGGCTCGCCAAACAGGGACTGCATTTGCGCAACATATAACTTGTTAATCAGATCCTCCTGGCAAGAGCGAGAGTGATAGGGGAAGTGTGCAATTGATGGAGCCTGTTGTAAACTGAGAAAGTGATGAGATGGATGAAAGCTACGCGTGAATATACAAATTCCGGGGGCAAGATTAACGCAGGAACAGCAAAGGTAATCGACTTCGTAAACATAGGATGTTCAAGTTAAAGTGAGATGCAGATAAATATACGGAACTTCAAATGACCTACACAATGATTCGTGTCATAGTCTGGGTACAATGAACTCACCACTGGAGAAAACACGATTGTTACTTCCGTCCTGCCGATGCACTCAGATATCTCGAGGATCTGTGATAGATGTGCCTGAACCATGATTGTAAGGAGATGTTGCCCAGGCCAGCGTGACGAGTTGGAGCATGTCAGTGACCGAGTCGTTTCGACACCACCACATGGCAAGCACCAACCATCCGGCATGACGCATAGCGGCATGGTACGATACAACAAATGCTTACTGATTTGTCGTGCCTTTCATCGTGGCCCGGGACTCCAGGACAGTCAGTGTCAGTAGGGAGCTGATCACACCTTGATGGATATGCAACGGCGGTGAGAAAATAAGGGGGAAAGAAACGCAGAAGGCTCACTGGCATGCACACGGCAAGCATACGCGTACTCTTACGGCAAGATAACGGAGGGGGAGGAACATCGCTTGAGAATTTGAAATCAGACCCTTACTTACGATAGGGTATAGGTCACTTGCGATACGCATTTTCATCGAATGCGTTCGCTGATAAACTGCAAGTTGATCAAGCATCTCGTCGAGACAAGCAGAAGGGGGAAACTCAGGACCCCATGGAATCTCTAGCGCGGCATTGATGTGGATCATGGGAAACTTGCCCAGGAGGTACGGATCGCGGGTAAGCAGGCAAATCAGCACATGTGAATGCCCGATATGTAACATCCCATCAATGCCGGAATTGTCAAAGTAAAAGTGTATGGCGGGCGTTCTTGATCTCGTGGCAAAGAATGGTGAAAGGAAAATGAATGACAAATCGAGTAGAAAAACACCTCGTTGCAGAACTCACTGAAGTGCGTGACAATACCAAACGCATGCCCTTTCGAGCGGGTTAACGATGGTATATGACGGGCGTTTACGAAGAGGGGCAGTGATGATGGAAGAAGCGGCGTGAGATCCGGTCTGTAGCAGTGTGGTAATACTGAGTCAACAAGAACCGCCGACAAGCGCCTAACGAGTTGGGTCATGGGCAGAAGTTCAACCACTGACACAAGATCCACAGCGCAACGGTATCACAACGTACGGTCCTCGTCAAATTCAACTGCTACTGACCATTTATCTCCCCGTCTAGGTCAATACGAGATGTCAGGGGTGCCTGATGCAGCAAGAGATGCGGATCTCACTTTGAAGGGGCTCCCTGTGCCGGCGCAGACAATGCAAGGGCAACTGATGCCAATGCGGACGATGAAAGAGAACAGGCGCAGCGTGAATGCGATAGCGTTCTTCAAAGATGGTCGACGGTTCGTCACTGCTTTACATG